TTGAGTCGGCTGTTTTGAGTTGAGAAAACAGAATTTTTTTTTTGGGACGGATAGTTAGGGTCTCTACAGCTGTGTTTGTTCTGGAGAAGTTTCAGAGTCAATGAGTTTCTCTGGCGTTGGGGTTTGGGTGGTTGATGAATAGGGATCAAGGGGTTGACCTTAATTTTTGGTAATTACCTGAGGTATTGCTGTCAGAGTCTTCAATATAGATTAGGTTAATAAAGTCAGTTGCCCTGAAAATGGGCGAGTGGAAATACGCTAATGGTCAAAATGGTTGAAGGTGAGGAAGCTGGAAGGGGGCGCTGCTGGCGTCGTAGGGATCCAGTCTATCTGTTCATGAAGGGCTAAATCGCTTATCGTTTTGGTAACAAAACGTTTTAGTTTGAGATTGTTTTTTTATCTGTTTCTTTTGGTTTAGAATCAATTTCAGTCAGTAGTTATTCCGTCAATTCACTTGAAATTATTGTCAACTTAGCATCGCGCTTGAGTACTTCCGACAGCTTGATCAGACAAGTACGTATGACCCACTTGAACGGGTTATAGTTAAATTGCTTATCAACAAATTAAGGGAGTCTAACACGAGTTAAGCCATGAACGGTTGCCCAAATTTGGCCACCCAACATGCAAAGCTCGTTCGATTTTTTGACAGTTCGTTTATAAAGGAAAAAAGCTACGACAAAATTGTGAATTTTAAAATTAAATCAAGATTCAGGATGTTACTCACACTGGCTAAATTGAGAAAGCAGCTGCTTTGGTTCAGTTTCAGACAGTTAGGAAATAGTTCGTCAAGCAGTTTGCGATCAGAATCAACAGCAACTTATTGTAAAACTGTTTTCGATGGATCAGCTCTTACTTTTTGAGAATATTATTGAGCTAATGTTTGCCGGTTTTCGTCATTGGGGCGCAACCAGACTCTTCAACATACTTGTCCGGATCCACTGCGACCCAATGACGAAAACCTACTACAGCTCAAAAGGGGGCAGTTGGCAGAAGGCAGAGTCATTGAACGAACAAAGATAGCACTTCATGTGTCTTTCTTTGTAGATGACTACACCGATGGTAGAGATACTAAGGAAAAGTTTATCAGATTGTGCCAGTTTTCCGAAAATTTTGTAAAAAGGCTTTTTCATTTAATGAATGATAAACTTGCCAAACTGCATAAAACAGAAGAAATTTGTCGCAGAATATGATCCCAGCGTCAAAACATTTGAACTCAATGAGTGTATACTTTGTAATAGTTTCAAGTATCAGTGTATAGTTGAATTGGAATCTGTGGAGCCTACAAGGTTGTCCAATTACGGAGAGCTTACCTAGTCAAGCCAGTCAAAATCTCGTTTGTTGATTTTGAAGCAAGTGACAGCCCAGCAGATGACAAGGAAGCAGGAGCTCCGGGAAGTAAGAGGTTGTGCTGTTGTTTTTGCCAAAAATTGTATTGTTAAAAAGTTAGCACGAGGTCACGTTCCCAACTTTGAGTTTTTCTGGATGATACTTGTGGAATGCTGAAATTGAAAACAAGGGACAACCCAAAAATAGTCAAGTTCAACATAATTGCTCAAACATGAGTATGCATGAAACAGAGTCTAACAATCGATGTTCAAAATTTGGCATTCGTTTCAACCCAAAAATTGGTCAGTTTTGAGCAACGTTTTCCAACCGAAAAATCAAAGTTTAGTCTTTCGATAACCATCTTGTTAACAGCACGCTTAACTGGCTTACCCCAATAAATAAATCATTCAGAAAGTTCCCACAAAAATTTTTCAAATATAAGGCTAAAATCACCTAAGCCGTCATGCGGTTAATTTCGACGGAATTTTTCAATTATGAAATTTCAAAACTCAACCCTTCAAAAAACCAATGTTTTTTAACTGTACCAAGAGATGTTACAAACAAAAAGAACAAAGTTTTCTCCAAATTTGTTAATTTTTAAGTACAAACAAACAAGGCTCCAGCGACAATCTCTGACCAGCAGCGCTGAAATGGGAGAAAAAACAACTACAATCTATCTATTGGTTCAAAACAACTCGTTAACTATGATCGAAAGCTTTACCAGAGTCACTCTCAGCATTCTAGGCAGAAGCTTGGAACAAAAATTGATCCTTTGGACTTGCAGCCATTGTAACAATAGTGTCAAAAATTTGTTCCGACAACATGGGATAGAGATTTGAAACAAAATGTCGATCTTGGTGCCACTTATAGCGAATCAATTCCAACACGTGGTATCAACTTAAATCTTCGAGCTTCCCTGGGCTGTTCGTCAGTACCTAGAAATAGATATTTTTATAGCTTTTTAGATATTCAGTCTTCATTTTTTCTGTGATGCATCAGATATGGCTTATAGAGCAGCCTAATTTGCTAGGACAGTTCCAGAAGCAGGATTAAACTTTTCATTGCTAGCAGCCAAGTCACAAGTAGCACTGAGGAAGAGAGATTGCATTCCATGATTTGAGCTTTGCTTAATGGTTCTCAGTTGTCAACTCCCTGGATGTGTTTGAAGTCAATTCACTAAAATGTTTGCAATTCTTGATAGATGTCAACACCTGTCAGCAATTTTATGAGTTTAGATCATATCAAATCTGAGTTGACAATCAAATGTGGGGTCAACCTCATTGCTAATGTTCATTAGATGCTGGCAGTTGAAACCACCACCAACACCCACAGCAGAACGTACATTTTGACCAACAGTAACAAGTGTATGTTTCAAAACCTAAAAAGCTCAGAGCGAATAAAGAACGAGCTTTAACTGTTACCCAAGGAAACCTTCTTGTGCTCTAGAGCAGCAAGTGGGGAGGAAAGCAGGCAAGCAGCAAATGCCATCAGGACTAGACGTCGGACAGAGAACGATTTTCATTTTGGGCTACTCTCAGCAGCCTACTGCCTGAACAAAAATGGAAAGTTTCGGATTCATTGTGCGAGAACTGTGTTTTACCGTAGTCAATGCATTCTCGCTCGCAATAGACAGCAAGGCTGGGTCATATCAGTCAAGGCGGTGTCACGACCAGTTATCAGCAAATGCTATCTTTAACTACAACTTTCATAGCAGAGCAATGAATCAGCTAAAGGGAGGTTACACAGGTGAAAGAGTCGATCCATCACCACTATTCTTCAATGCTGATATCAACTTTGCCGGACTAAAGTAGTACTAGAAGTCCAATCAATTACGCAAGTTTCACATGGTTGTTTTAATTTGCTTTTCTATTATAGCAATTTACGTGGATATTTCGTCAAAAACTGAAGAATGTTGAAAAACATTATGACAATTGACCATCTCTTGATGCATCATGCAAGAAAAACTGTTTAGAAAAACGAAATGTCAAAAGAGCTCCTGTATACAAATCTAAAGGTGATAAACCGCCTTTATCAAAGCCATTTCAAATTGTATATGCCGGAAAAGATAGGCCACAGAGCGTAGTTTTTTTTACATTTGTGGAATTTGCCTACAAAGACGATAAAAAACCATGAGCTATATCAACTAAAGAAATGAAAAACCAAATTGAAAACTAATAGCCAGTCATCCAGCTGGTTTTCCTCATACTCTTCTCAAAAGAACCTTTTCTAAACTTCCAATTTGAATTTTTCCGATCCCTCGTCTTCTTCAACACAAGATGAGGGGCTGCATCAACCACCTCCAACAGCCTGAGGTCAGTACGATCATCGAGTTTGATCTTGTTTGCTGCCTTCTACCTAAATTTTGACCTTTCTCGCAACATACCCATTCAACAAAACGACACCCATCTTTTTTCTCGTCAACGCAATTTTCATGTCTATCTAAAAAGGAAACGGATTGAACAATAAATGGAGGTGGCAATGTTTGATTGTCGCGGCAAATGAAGCAGTTTTTCCCTGATAATTTTTTTCTTCATGATAACTGAAATAAAAGTCTCTGAAGTTTCGTATTTTTTTAACTTTACGCGCAATTTGTATAAATCAAATCACCATTCATTTGTTACAGTCATCGAAAAATACATTATTTATGCATATCCACGCTTGTCTCCTAATTTGTATTATTGCAGTATTCTTAAGACTACCACCGCGGCTGATATTCACTTAGGTTTGATAATCCTGTCTAAAAGTAATTCGAAAGTAGACTTGGAGGTTGAAATCTTTTTAGTTTTTTTGAACACAAAAATGGGAAGGCTTTTTGTATTATTGTGTGCTTTAGTTTTTAACCTTCTGTTTCTTTTGTTTCGAGCGAAAAGTCAGATTCCACAATCAATCATCGGAATGGGTCGGGTGATATATCAAATGTAAGCGCTTTCAGCCGTGAATCGAATTAAAATAATAAATTTTTTGAAAAATTGTCCCGTTGTTGAGAAAAAAGGCTTGAAATTTTAGTGCCTCCAGCCTTATATCCAGCGAGTAAAGCGATCGAGTGACGTTCTTTAAATACGACGTTCATCATTTTTCTTCCATTTAAGGAAAAACTGTCTTGAAGAGCTTGACTTAGTAACGGAAAAAAAAACTGGGTAACGGAGAAAAATTCAAATTAGGATATTTAGACGATGCAAGGCAGAAAAGCAAGATAAGAAGAATAAATCCTCAATAACAAGTGTACTAAAAGTTTAAATCAAAGGTCGTAACACCAGGAATTTCAAACTGTTTTCAGGATCATTGGGAGGATTGGAATAAAGCATCCAAGAGATTGCAATACAAAATGCAACTAATGCATTCGTTTCGTCGTTGTTGCAACCTCTTTGAGTCGTATTTTTCTCTTATCATGCGAGAATAAGTCCTGGTTATTACCACTGGTCCTGACTTCAACCATCAAAAATGGGGGTGGGACATTTTACAAAAAAAATTCAATTTTCAATATCTTTTTTGTGACCATGCTCTCAAACTGCTCTACAAGGCAACGTGAAATTATGACTGGCTTAAATGGGCAACTGGCACATTGATACCACACTGGCACATTAATTTAGTGTGCAGCACTTTTTGTCTCCAGTTTGGCTCTTGAATGTTCTCCTTTTGCCATATAACAAATAACCATTGCTTTTATCAAAAATATTTTTCAGATTCTTGTTTTGCTGATTCGCTATGGTTCTGGGAGAAATTACTGGTCAACTTGAAAATGTTTCGCTTCGAGAAACTACTTCTAAAAATGCTACCGTTGTCACGTCCAAAACAGATCACAGCAAGTATATTGAAGCCGAGCCTCTTTTGAGAGAAAACCCGCGAAAGTATGTCATGTTCCCTATCGAATATCCAGATATCTGGCAAATGTACAAAAAAGCTGTAGCTAGTTTTTGGACTGTTGAAGAGGTTGATCTATCGAAGGACATGGATGACTGGGAAAAGTTGAAGCCAAATGAACATCATTTCATCAAACATGTTTTGGCTTTCTTTGCTGCCAGTGATGGAATTGTGAATGAAAATCTTGTTGAGCGATTTGGCCAGGAAGTTCAGATCCCAGAGGCAAGGAGTTTCTATGGGTTCCAAGTTGCCATTGAGAATATTCACTCTGAGATGTATTCTCTGTTGATTGACACATACATCAGAGATCCTAAAGAGCGCGATTATCTGTTCAATGCCTTGGAAAACATGCCCGCAGTCAAGAAGAAAGCAGACTGGGCACTAAACTGGATTAATAGTGATGATGCAACTTACGGAGAAAGGATAGTTGCCTTTGCGTCCGTGGAGGGGATCTTTTTCTCAGGTTCATTTGCAGCAATTTTCTGGCTGAAAAAGAGGGGTGTCATGCCAGGATTAACTTTTTCGAACGAGTTGATCAGCCGTGACGAGGGGCTGCATACTGATTTTGCCTGTTTGATGTTCAAGCATCTGGTTAATAAGCCGTCGGAAGCCAGGATCAAGGAAATCATAAAGGATGCTGTAAAAATCGAACAAGAGTTTTTGACAGATGCACTTCCGGTTAACCTCATTGGAATGAATGGAAATTTGATGTGTGAGTACATCGAGTTTGTCGCTGACCGACTTTTGGTTGAGTTGAACTGTGAAAAGATTTGGAACCGGGAGAACCCGTTTCCTTTTATGGACATGATCAACCTGGAAGGCAAAACCAACTTCTTCGAGAAGAGAGTCGGTGAATATCAGAAGGCGGGTGTGATGAACTCAGTGGGAAGCTCATCGAAGAAACAATTTGTGTTCAGCGTCGATGAAGACTTCTAATCTATACAAAATGAACATCATGACAACGATGCTTGTAATTTGTTTTTCGTGCAATCTAACCGGTGTCTTCTATTTAGCAATATGATAGTGTGCAATGTTTGTTTGATTCTTGAGTTCAGTTTGTTTTAATTTGTCGATAGTAAACCCTAAACTAAGAAGACAGTACTGTTTATGAGAATACCTACAATTGACTTTTAGTGGCTGGCTCGTTTTTTTAATCTAAACGCATTTAACCTTCATGCAACTTTATTTTAAAGAACTAGGGAATAAACGCTGGTAATCAGAGGTCCTTTTTGATCGGATTTTAACTGGAGTTAAAGTGGAACTATATATTTTCTTAATTTTCAGGAAATTATGGGCGATAGCGGGGATCCTGTGACAGAATCTGAAACTATCAAAAAGGAAGCGAACACTTGTTTTTCACAGGGTCAATTTGATAAAGCCATCGAACTATACACATCAGCTATTGAAATTGATCCAGAAAATGCCATTCTATACAGTAACAGAAGCTTCGCTCATCTCAAAATGGAGAGCTATGGGTACTCACTGGCAGACGCTACGAAATCAATAGAGCTCAACTCAGGGTACATAAAAGCCTACTACAGAAGAGCCAGTGCAAATTTTGCAATTGGTAAATTCAAAGTAGCTCTGAAAGATTTCGAAAGTGTTGCCAAGGCTAAGCCATCAGATGCTGACGCACAGAAGAGGTTCAAAGAGTGTGAGAAAATTGTTAGGAAGATTGCTTTCGAAAAGGCAATCGCTGTTGATGACAAGGAGAGTGTAGTCGAGACTATCGACTTGGATTCGATGGTCATCGAAGACTCCTACACGGGGCCATCGCTGGATGAGGACGGATGCGTCACGAAAGAGTTTACAGAACAACTGCTTCCATACCTTAAAAGCCAGAAGGTAGTTGTTCATCATAATATCATACAATTTTAATATGCTAGATGCTGCGTAAATTTTGTCTGTCTTTTATGTGCATAGCATTCAGCGGCAAATGAAACTGTTACACTTGAAAAATTTTCAGGTTTTGCACAGAAAGTACGCGTACAGAATTCTGCTCGAAATCAAAAACATGTTTGAAAAAGAAGAGACGTTAGTTCGAGTTAATATCGAGGACAAAAACCAGATCACAGTGTGTGGGGACATACACGGACAGTTCTATGACCTCCTCAATATCTTCGACATCAATGGAGTCCCCTCCGAGACAAATCCATACTTATTCAATGGAGACTTCGTGGACAGGGGCAGTTTCTCAGTAGAAGTAGTCATGACTCTATTCTCTTTCAAGGTGGGTTTTTAAACTAACCATAGTGGTGCATGACTGCAAACTATCCGATCACAGAGAACTTTTTGCTATGCATTTTTTTCAGGAGAATTGTAGTACGAAAAAGCCCTCGAGTGAATGAAACTTCAGCGTATAAACTTAAATGTTATTTTGTCCAGGCCGTTGTCTTAATAAACAGACTTCTGAGCCTTGATATAGACACGTTTTTGTATGGCGTGGAGATTGTTTTGTATAACTATACCACATTTTCCAATCATGCTAATTTAATATTTAGATCATAATATAAAATAGTCATTTTTGGCTGGGTACAGAAAGTTAGAAATGATTTATTGACGATTTCTGACAAATAATTGAAAGCGGCACATGTTTGCCTGCCGAATTATTGAAGTTTTTGTTTTAGAATAGCCACAAAGTATTTGCCTAATTGATTGCAGTAATCTTGTATAAACTAATTCTTCTGAGAAGTATCATCATAATAAGACGAATGTTGACTATGTGTAAATCACTTCAGCTTAGGGGTCTGTTTAGGTGTTGTACCCTAAGCACGTATATCTGGCCAGGGGAAACCACGAGAGTCTGACGATGAACAACATGTATGGGTTTGAGACGGAGGTCGGCACCAAGTACTCCTCTCAGATGTTCAAACTATTCACAGAAGTATACTGTCTTCTTCCACTCGCGCACTGCATCAACAATCAAGTAAATACCATTTACATTTTATAGTTAACATTATAGATCAATCGGCAGGGTTCAAAAAAAGAAGCTGTTAATAATTGTTCTTGAAGCTTGAGCAAGTCTCGCCAAAATTGGTTAAAATTTTTTTTGGCTGAGAATTCTTTTCAATGATAACTGTGCTCTTAAGTTTGTGTTTCTTGAATGAGTTTCTTCCGAGTTTTTTTAAATTGAATAGCATAAGTTTCGTTTCTACAGCTTAGTACAAACTAAAATTGTGACAGTCTTTCGAATTAGCGTCGACAAGTTTTTTGTTGACTTAATTTTTAACAAGACAACTGTTTTCAAAAAGTTGGCATGGCGTTTTACACATTTGGTGATCGGTTGTTTCTCAAGAGGTTTCCAATCAGATGCAAGTTCACGATGTTTCAGGTTCTAATCATGCACGGTGGTCTTTTTGCCGAAGACGGCGTAACATTAGACGACATCGCAAAGACAGATCGAAACAGACAACCGCCCGAATCTGGGATAATGTGCGATCTTCTCTGGAGCGACCCACAGTCAATGAAAGGCCGGGCTCCCAGCAAACGAGGCGTCGGCTGTCATTTTGGCCCCGATGTCACGGAACGCTTTCTGAAGGAGAATAATTTGAAGTATATCATCAGAAGTCATGAGGTCAAGATGGAAGGTTACGAGGTCGCTCACGGGGGCAAGTGTATAACAGTGTTTTCGGCTCCCAACTACATTGACCAAATGGGCAACAAAGCAGCTTTTGTTAAACTAACAGCCCCCGATTTGAAACCGGAGTTTAAAACATACGATGCAGTGCCTCATCCCAAAGTAGCGCCTCCAAGAATGCCCTTTTTCCTAATGTGATATAGCTTTCAATATTTTGCTGTAAAGATTATATTTTTTTTCTGAGGAATGCGAGTCTTGCGTTGCTGAACTTTTGAATTACATCCTGATTGCCATATCTGACTTTGTTACAAGTGGCAGTCATTTGAATTATTGCGTTAGATGATCACAACATAAAACTACATTTATTTGTTCGAAATATATTTTTGATGTTCATGTATATTGTTTTTCCAGCTAGAAATATTTTATCCAGATAAAGAACATCTTCTGGGTTGTTTTGCTTATTTTTTTGTTTAAAGAAATAATAAATCGTTTCAGAAAAACAATGGCTTTACTTCATTTGTTGAACCGATCCATTTTGAGACAACATGAAGTTGTATCTGCTTCGTCCAAACTGTTTTCAACCACTTCGAAATCTTTCAAACTGACGCCCGCGTGTTGTCAGCCGACGTCTTCTTATGTGCATCAACAGAACAGAAAGATCTCAGTGACTCCCGATACTGCCCTGAAGTACTTGGAGAAAGACAAGCACTCTCACACCAAAGAGTGGCTCTGGGAGAGAGGAACTGCAATTGGCCTGTTGTCCTGCTTCCCAGCTGCATTCATACTGCCCTTCCCCCTTGTAGATTTCACTCTGACCACGCTAGCTGTTTTTCACGGTCATCTTGGTAAGAGATTGCAACTGATATAGTTTTCACGAGAATTCCTCGTTGCATAATGGTAGAAATTCCTGACAAAAGAATATACGTATTGCTCAATTGGTTGCTTAATATCAGGTAAACATATTCTAGTGTTGGTCTCTCTTGGATGATTTTTTTTCATTTTGCATGAGTGACTTTGAGCCAAGGATTTTTCGAGAGTTCCAAATAATTGTTCTGCGTTAGCACATTAACTTTTCTGGGCTTTCTCGAGGAATTTTCCTGAGGCGGCAAGTTCGTGGGTTCGAATCTGACCAGGAACTGTTTATTTTTTTAAAACTTGAAATATTCTCTTCCAAAAAATGTAGGCCTATGGTTTGTATGCTTATGTTTTGTCGGATTAGCTGCCACATCGTAGAATTAATTTTTTGTACGCATTTTTTGATGTAGTTGCTTTCAGTGTTTTAAATCACTCTTTCAAGTTATAATTTTACCAGCCTTGACTTCGTATTTTTTGCAGTTTTTTTGCTTAAAAATTTTATTCGGCTTAAATGATTTCGGCTTATATTTTATCGAATTAGTGACCTAATTTGGAGATCTTTCAAAGAAAGTATAAGTTTTTTGCTTTATTCCGCATCGCACAAAACGCTTAAATTCTTTTAATTTATAGTTCAAAGTTTTTCATGACAACAATTATATTTTCGGTTTATGGGAAATTATTCAAGTTTTGTCGGCTCATTTGCAGCTTATTTATATTTTGAATTTTTTAAATTACCGTCGATTGTGTTTCTGGACGTGTTTTTCGCAAATAGAACATGATTCCAGGCAAAATTTTGAATTTTTTTGAGTTGTTTTTTAAAGTGTTTTCTCTTTTTTTTTGGATATATTGGCTTTCTTTTTTTTCTGTCTGCAAGCATGCAGTGCTATTTTTATGTTGTATCGCGCCGCTTCGCCTCCGTGGGCAGGGGGATATTTTATCCGCATACATGGCTTTCAGTTTCGACTGCTTGGTCTCAATTGAGCATGTGAAGGGGAAGTTTTTAGAAGGATTTACTTAAGAGAGGAATAGAGGAAAATATGCTAAAATTCATATTTAACATCGTAAATAAATACTTGCTACGCTAAGCATGTAAAAATGTTTTGTTACAGTCAAATAAAATGACGAAGATTTCGTCAGCTTAGCTACTTCTTCTTATGTAACTTAAGTAATATTGTACCCGACCATTTTTTACCCTACATTTTTTCACCAACGATTTTTCACCGAATAAAATAATATGGATAAAAAGATTTTGATGGACAAAGGTCTATTGTTCCTTCCGTACCAGGACCTGCACTTTCGGCAAACTGGAATATTTCTGTTCCTGAAAAACCTTAATATCCGGAAATCTCTCGTCTGATGATAATTTTCGCCTGGGTTGCTTCGTCCCCAAATTTTTAAAACGTCAATAAAGTATGCTTTGGCTTTTACTTTCCTAAGATGATTATTTTGCTTGCATTTAAGTTGGCAAATGATCATGTTTTATATTTTATTGTCTGAAAAAGTCGAAATTTTATTGGGAAGATATACAATTTTTCGTTTTTGTTTTTCAAAAATGGTTTCTGTAGTTTTTCAAGTAATTCGAGTTATTTCCAGAAAATAAGTAAGCTGAAAATCAGTTGACATTCTTTTTGCGACAGAACTGGTGTGAAGCTCCGTTTCCTCTATGAGGTTAAGGTTTCTTACGCCAATGAGTCATTTTTACAGCTCAATATACTATTTTCCCCTAGTTTCTGATATGATCACCTGGTACATAATCAACTACCTGTCAGGTTTCAGTCGTAGCTATTCGTAAAGGTTTGCGAAATGTTAATTTGTTTTGAGAAATTTAGTTTATCTAAATCTCGCTTAATCAATAAAGTCCCCATTTTCCCGTCTAATGGGTTGTGATACACATTTTGCATCTCGAAACTATTTTGCCTTGCTTATTTTCTCCGTACGATTTTGCTATTTAATCCCATTAGTCTTTTGGGCGTGATCGGTTAATCTGATTGTAGTCCCTCGTATCGGGCTATGCTTTTAGTAGTAATCTCTTAACTGTATTACAGTCAAATGGATTTTGCAGGTATGGAAGCCGTCTTCACAGACTACGCCCATAGCCACGCGCTCCGAAAGGCAGTGAATACTCTTCTATATGCCGTTTCGTTTTTCATGTGGGGCGCCCTTATGTACTTCAACTATGCCGACGTAGGACTCTGTGGAGCCGTCAAACTAATCTGGACGTCATAGGGACAGCAGTCAACGATGAATTAATGAAGCATAATGATAACTTGGCAGATAGATAAATGATGAACTTAATTTTGTTAATACTAAAATTGAACTTGATAGAAAAAAAAACAATTGACTAATGCAGTGAAAATGTTTATTTTAATAACCATTTTTTCGAGCGCATTGAGTTTTTTGTAGCTCGTCACTTGAAGAGTTTCACTTGTTCAAGTTTCGTTCACAAAAAAGCCATCATAGAATTTGTATAATCCACTCAATTTCTAAGAAATTAAAAAATAGTGAAAATAATGAAAGTATTATAGTGGCCAAAAATACGTGTATATTATCTTTTCGACTAGACTAGCAAGTGTATTTCAACTGGTTAATAGACTTTTTCGATGTTAATAACTTGGTTCACAGACTTTGATGAAAAGTTAACAGACTTTGATAGCTACTGTTTGATAAAAACGGATGGTATGAAATGTGTTTATTTTTTTGAATGCTTCGGAAAAGTTTTTCTGTTTCTCGAAATCCGCTCTGCCTATTTTCACCAGTGGTACCAATGAAAATATAAGCCCCTCCTCTGCGTGCCTGCTTATTTCGCCAGCCTCTCTTCGCGTTACCGTACTCCCTACGACCTTGGGAACGTTCAATTACAAGGAACTTCGGAGCTTGTTAACTATTCCCCCCCCCCCCTATGGTACCTTGTAACGAATCCCCCCCCCCATTAAAGAGAGAATTGATCAGTTAAGCATATACGAATTTGTACCTTGTTACGAATCCCCCCACCCCCATTGCAATAGGGGGGATTGGAAATTGTTAACAAGATCCGGAACTTTTGACCCATTTTTTGGACTTCTCTATTTTCTCCGAAAATGGTTTTGTCAATTCTAAAATTGAGGGTTCAATCGAAACAGTAGATTTTTGCTACCTCCACTTGGTAAGCGAATGCTGCCTAATTGTGGTAGGAAAACTGCTATGAACTTGGAAAAGTCTAATTTTTGGCATAATGAAACTTAAGCAACACCTTTTGATCAGTGCATGTTATGTTCTAAATTTATCAGCTACCTCCAGTTTTAACTAAACCACTTGTCAGATTTTAGTTTGACTTCTGTTTGCATTTCAAGATCAGTTTGTTTCCTTTGGTAAAAGGAGGGACAAACTTCACTATCGAGCAGCTAAAGTGTTAAGATCACAAAAAATGTGATCTACTTCTCGTTTCGAAAGTGGATTTTAAATATCAGATTTTCAAGCGTAATCAAAAAATTTAACTTTCGATCTAGTTTCTCAAATCGGGTTAATTTTATCAAAAAAAGTGCTATCATAAAATTTTCTTAAAATTCAAAGAGTTTGAATAGCATAATTTTTTCTTTGAAATTCTAAAATTTAAACTTCCAAAAAACAAGTAAGTATGTTTTTGCCTCTTTTTCCTACTAGCTGTTGGCTATGTTTTTCAATATCAGATTGAAAACAAGCCGAATCAAAAAATTTTATAACGAATTTTTTAACTATAAATGAAAGTCATGTTGATATATTCATGTGATGGTACAGGTGTTATTTATCTTAAATTTAATGACATTTTTTAAATTTTGATTTTCTTGCATCGAGTTTTTGTTTGCGTACTTACAATCATGGGTGGATCTAGGATTTTCTCGAGGAGGCGGATTTTCAAAAAATTTTGAAATTTTTTCAGGAAAAATTTTTTTTTTCTAGGTTGACCAAATCGATTTTCCTAATTTTGGCAAAATTTTGAAAAACAGGCCAAAAAGGCGTTTTTAGGCACTTTTTGGAAAAGATCGACCAAAAACTTGTGCTTTTTCGGCGCGCGCTCCCCCTCAAAATTAGTATGTATTGGCGCCTTCAGAAAATTAGAAAGTTATTAGGGTACGTCACTAAATATGGATATCTCAGAATAGTACAAAGAGGGACTCTTTGGGTCAACAGGGGGTCGAATCCCTGAGGGGATAAGCGTCCGCCCCCAACCGCCCCCTAAATCCGCTTCTGCTTACGATGAATCAGTTAGAGGAGCCTTAAATTTGAAATTATCGGAACTTATTTGAACATATAATGGTGAAAAATTACGATTTTTTTTGTTTTCACGATGGATTCCATTGTCTGGGTTGTTTGTCAAATGAGCTTTTATCTTTTGGAAATGTTTAGCATGGATTGATTGTGGTTACTAGAAAACGTATACTGCGGTTTTTTCTAATACGCATTCTCTATATTGCTGATAGCATGTTTCATAGATTCACGAGTGCAGTGAGGCTTAATTTGCCTCTGTCTCTAGAGCTCTTTTTTTGGTAAACATGTGTACTTATTATGCAGTTCTTTGAAGTGAACAGATTTTTTCAGATTAGATGGCTGCTACGATGGAAAAACTGGATAATGGTCTCACAATTGAGATGTTCAACACTCTTTTGCGGTATGTTTTCGTTTTCTCAAAAATTCTGTAGTGGTAAAAAAAACTAGCTGCGTTAAAATAAAGAAGCATACAAAAGAAGGAAGCTTACTTTTTGAAGCTTACCCATCATTGAATTGTGTTTTCTATTTAAGTCGAATAATCGTAAATTTCATTTTCTTTTTTTTTTCAGTCGTGGCTTCGAGGAAGGTGGCGAGCAGCAGGGTGGTTCGGAGATGGTTTCAGCAGCTGCACTGGGGAGTCCCCGGCTGTCGAAGTCGTTCGAGTACTGTCACGTGGACTCTGAGTATGAACTGATGAAGCATCTGGTCTCTTTCCTCTCTCACTCCACTCTCTCGCGCACGGAGAGGAACTTCGGACAGAAGAGGTCAAGGTCAATCAGAAGTGTCTTCTTAAAAATTAAATGAACGTATAAGACTGGAGAATGTAGAAAAATTATCCTTTTCTTTGAATTTCACATACACAGCTGTTTAATATCTGACGTGAAGAGAGCTGTAAAAGTTTCATAACCGCAAAAGTTTTATTTGTTTTCAGTGCTTATTTGCTGTTGTAATTTGTTCTGTTGATAATCAGATAGTGTTTTGTAATAACTACTTGGGTTTAGTTCTGACTTCTTGGTGATTGAGGAGAACGAGAGGCAGGCGCAGTTGGCAGCCCTCATCAGCCACTTGGCCAGACTGGACCACCAGGTGTTGAGGACACTCACAAGACGCATCCTGGCAGACACCTCTCACTGGATGTCCACCCTCTTCAAGTAAGTCACTTGTGCTTAGTCATATAGAGATAAATGTATGTACGTGGGTTCTTTGCTTGTTTTTCGCGGTTAGAATATGACCTTGGTTTCCAACGTATACTACAGAATGAATCATGTTTAAGAAAATCTTTTAAGATACGAGTATGATAAAAATTTTCTTTAATACAGTTAGACGCGACTGTAAACTAATGGTCACATTATTTAGTCTTTTGTTTTGAATCGTTTTTAAAAAGAGAAAAATTAAGTTCTCTTGGCTTACTCAATGCCGTTTCCGGGGTTAACAAATCTAAAAGTATGTGAGACTTCATGCCCGCAATGCGCAGCTTGTGTGTTGGTTGTTCCGCTTAACTTGATAAAACCTGAGCGAAAATTTAACAAAGTATTTTTCAAGGTTTCCACAATCCAAGTGCTACTTCCACCTGCGAGAAATCGACGGCGTGATTGGGGCATGCAGAATGGCACTACACAAACAGTACCCGTCCTTCGCACTGAACGGATTCAAAATATGGCTGCCAACTACCGAGACAATCTCGCCTGTTGAAAGTACTCCAGAAGGCGATTCCGAGGAAAAGGGAGATTCAACAGCAACTGGAGATAGTAGCGAGACTGAGTCGGCCTCCAACGACAAGGATGGAGACGGGAGTGTTTCTGGCGAGAAGAAACGGGAGCCGGAGAAGTTGCCAGTTATTTACATACCCCAGTGCACGTCCCCAGGGTGGGCCGATACATGTTTAAGACAGGTATGTTAACAGCATGTCTTTATCATGATGATATTGGAAGAAGAGACAGTGCGTCGATGTTCTGTTCTACGATTTATGAACACAGTAGACGCTTAAGTGCGCAGTAATGGCAAAAAATTCGGTAAATAGTTAGTTTTTTGAGGGTCTCTAAATTTGTTTGATTCGTTTGAGTGTCTCTAAAAGTCTTAACAACGAGTGCTATCTACACATTAGCAAAGAGAACCCACAATTTCTTACTAAGCAAACAAAAATGTTAAAATATGATGAAAATAATTTGCATCATTTTTCTGGCAAAAGCTTTTTTTTTTGAAATATCAGTCGCGCTTGTTGTTTTTCAATCTGCTGAATTGTGATTAGCTGGGTCTGCCGATGGACTGTCTGTTCACTTTGAGCTGCAACCACCAGGAGGAGATGTCGAAACGGTCCCACTCGAAGGACACTGAGGACAAACTGAGCGACACCATAGATGTGGCCGCATTCGACAAGGCAGTCCAACATCACATTGCGAATAACATGAAGCCCCTCTTCCTACTTACACATGCTGGTAAACAATGCCGCTTGCAAAGTTTTAATAAATTAAAATAAATAAATAAATAATGTCATTCTGGGTCTGCTAGAAAATTTTTAGTGGGCTTCAAGTGTGATGAGTAAAATGGTTTTAAATGCGAGAAATTTTGATATCCGTGTAGATCGCCGATGCACTGTGAAAGAACAAAAAAATTACTGATAATTTGAATTCCATTTCACCAATTTAAGATATCTAAACGTGATCGACTTACTAACAAACCGGAGTTAAAATAGATGCAATACTTTAGCATGTTTGCATATTGAAGGCCTTTTATGTTCAATTTTGTTACTTGTTCGGAAGTTTGCCAACTGCCCAACTGATTGTCCATTGTAGGTGTTGTTTTTTTTTGCTCTAAAAGAATTCTACATCAACTCCCGAGTTTCCAAATTGAAAAACACCGGCTTAGTCGACGCTACATAAATTGTAAATGGTTTTTTTTTTTTCGTTTTTTTTTTCGTTTTTGTTCAGGAAGTCTTAATATGCTTGTATCTTATAACAAACGAAGTGCACTCATACTTATAAATGAACATATGAATGCCCTTAAGTATATATGCACTTTTTTGTTCAATTCAAGTTCATTTGCTAGATGGTAGGCGAAATGATCTCTCCAATTATGAAAGCTGAAATGGCGCGAAAAAACGTGATCGAGTTCTAGTTTTGAAGTGGAATTTAGTTTTTAGTTTTTACAGCGGAATAAAAAACGCTTCCTAGTAATCTAGTTTTTGCAAATTGGGTTATTTCATCAATAAAACGTCCGTCAATTATTAATTGATCTCAAAATTAGAGCTTTGAGGCTTTTTTTTTTGAAGTTTGAGATTTTTTTCGGAAAACAAGTCAATTGACTCTTTTCGAACTGTCTGTTGGCTTTGTTTAAAGTTTGGAGGTGTTTTTATTCTAGAGAGTCTACAGTGAAGTCGATTTGTGTTGGGGGTCGCGACCATGAAGTAGTATTTTTAAATCTGTTTTCAGGCACTTGGCTGATGGGCCAGTCGGACAATATCCAGGCATTGAGTGCAATCTGTTCCAAGTACAACATGTGGATGCACGTGGTGGGCAGCAACCTGGCCGCCCTCGGCATCCTCTCCTCCTCCATCCCCGAGTCCATCGCCTGTGTGCCCAAAGTGGCCGACAGCATCACTGTGCAGCCGAGAGAGTGGCTCGCAATACCCATGGCCCCCCGAGTCACGATCTACAGGGACACTGATCCCGCACTCGTACGCTCCCTTCATTGTATTCCCACATTATGCGTGCAGTGTAATTATACAGTGCTCATTTAAATTATCCGGTCAAACGGATAAAATCTGATTTTTTAACGCATTTTTCTCTAACTCTTTTTTCCATATTCGATAGCTCAGAAAAAACGTGATAAAAAAGCAGTTGCTTTCAGTTTCACCAGAATTGAAGTTAGGAAAAAAGCGACGAAGAAATATTTTGCGTTGAATGTTGCCAGTGTTAAGATAGTGATGATCAAGAAAGTTTCAAAAGCTAGTTTTTTTAAGATCCAGAAAAGATAATTGCTCCGACCTGTTTTTATAAGCTTAAGAGTTCAGTTTTTATAAGCTAAAGAGTTCAGTTGACTCTTTGAAGAATACGAAGTAATGCGACGATAGCAAGTATAATGTAAAGTAATAGCAAGTAATGATGGTATTAATAATCATTTAAATTAGTAGACAAATTGAGTTTATTTCAGACTGCTCCAGCGGGACTGGGATCCGACTATGACCACTCGGACTTGCACGTCATTCCACTGTGGGCCAATCTGCAGTTGCTGGGACAAGATAAAATCTCCTCCATGCTGCATTTTAACGCTTCGCTCGCTCAGCAGCTGGCTCACAAAATCAGCAGCATTCCACAGCTATTTTTACTGGTTCGAGTTATACGGTATTTCGATCTACCCAATACTATGGACAGCATAGGGCCCACTTTGGTACTATTTTACGACATCCGTTTTGGCCCGACCGACCTTCAAGCTTTTTCTAAACAAGCCTTAGGCGGCGAAAATATTTTTTTGATATTGAGGGGGAGCACGCGCCAAAAACCACAATTTTTGATAAAAACTCCAAATTGCAAAAAATGTTTAAAAAATGCATCTTTTGTTCAAAATTTTTCAAAAAGTGCCTAAAAGCAGTAGAAAATTTTGGCAAAATAGTGTCGTTTAAAATTTGGGAGACCTGAGGCAATGAATTTAGTTCATCGCAATATTTAATGTGTAATTTTTTTGTCAACTGCAATTTTTCGAGTATAATTTCATAAGTTAATGAAAACTAGTGTCAATTAAATTCAGTTTATTTTTTAGAGCCAATCAAGTGCCGTGTCTTCAGTCGTGCTCTTCCAATTCTCATTGGAAGATGCGGATAAGATAATCGCCACTCAGAATAAGTTTAAACTGGAACCAGAATATCAAATAGATCAAGATGCAATCAATATGTGGGTAAGTATCCTGGTTCGTACTATTCGGTTTACAAACAATCAGCTTCACAGTTTTTAATTTTGTATGTCTTTAGCTTTACAAGAAACTGCGGGTGGAAACATCGAAAGTTGTGCTGGATCTAGTCCAATTGTCCACCAACATGTACCTTCGCTTCTCGCCTAACATGTCATCGTCACGTGAGTAGATAGCTTTCTGTTGGAGTCTTCTTCGCCATCTCCCCCTATGAAGCCTAGAAAAGAGTTTTCACCCTCATGAAGGACTAAGTTAGCGATTAAGCATTTCTAATTTAGTTTATTGTAACGAATTTCCTCTTTTGATATGAGGGGAGGGGTAAGTTAACAAGATCAGTTAACGGTTTCTTCTGTTCGATTTGAAAGGTCTATTTTATTAACTTTTCATTTAACAGCCAATATAATCTTAAGCAGTTAAGTTATAATATAAAATATTGTTTTCAGTTATTTCTTTTTTTAGTGCGAGGAACCAACAGTGATCATATCAACGAGTTGTCTCATATAATGAAGAAACTCTGCACGTCAGGAACTGACACCTTGCTGAAGCGGAAAGAACTGGTCCAGATCTTCCTGGATACGGAAAACCACTCAGTTATGTCTTGTAGTGTGCGCTTCGTCTCTGCACCAGAATGGGCGGGACTGGCTGTGCTGAGGTATGTGCCGGAGTATTGTGAGAAACCAGTGATAGAGGGAATCGTAGTTCCGGATCAAGAAGAACGCGCTCAAGAAGAGATAGAGCGACTCAATAAGCTGCTGTGTCAGAAATTGTCCGAAGCGTTTCCTGATGTCATCATATCTGAAGTGAGTGCAAGGAACTGGCATCTATTTTGATGTTCTTTGGAATACTATTGGAGAAATTTTAGCACTTGCTTGTAGCATATCAAAACTTAGGTTCATGGACCTGAAAAGCAATTAGGGAAGCGGAAGGCTTCAGCTATTCTGATTTATGGGAGAAAGTAAATAATTAATTTTCTTAAACCAGTGGGTTCAATAGAAGTGGGTTCAATAGATGCATTTTAGGGTTTAGTAGGGAAGCTATGGGCTATCAAGGTGTCCATGGTGCCCTTCAATTTCAACTGCTCTGAATTCTTGATGGAGTTCTCCAATTCGGGAAAGAAGCTGGAAGACTCCTCTGCTGTGAGTGTCATAAATTTATCTTTACACAAGTAACCGCTTGTCATAATACTTTTCCAGTTCACATAATCCACCCTAAAATTTCGCTCAATGTAATTGGTGAGCGATTTATTAGCATGTGGTATACTTGTTAATGTCTACTAAAAGGCAATCAAAACAGTTGACTCAGAAAAACGAATGCTGCGTAGTCAGCTGGTCTGTGGTGGTTTATCGTGGTCAGCTAGTTGTTTTTCTAATTATTGTTTGTTCCGACCATTGAAAATGGGGGAGGAACTTTGTACTCGGGTGTGATATAGTTTCTTTTTTTTCTTTTCGTTTTCCATGCAAAATCAGGTACCAAAAACAATTATTGGACTGGGTTGAGTGATATATCATATTAAAGCCCTTTCAGTCGTGATTCAAACGACATTGAAAAATTTTTACAATGTCGAGAGAAACCGCTTTGAAATTTTTGATTTTTTCGTCTTAATTCGAGCGAATAAAGCAAACGAGCAGGCTGGCAATCGCTTATTTTAATGGCTCAAAAGCTTGCAATACCTAATTGAAGCTGTACAAATTTAGTTTGACTGGAGTAAAGTTCGTTTTTTTTTGGAATCAAAAACTGCGAAAAAAAAATTGGAAAACTTAGTGAAATTTTGTTGATTTTTTTTCCCGTTTATTAGATATTTTTCTACAAAAATTGTTTTCCAATTTGCGTAATTTACTCTGAATGTCGATTATGCCTAAGCTTTTGTTTTTTTTTTGTTCAGATCCTGTATTCACATCATGCCGAAAAAACGACACTAATTGTATTTTTTTTTAGACTTGGTTGTTGTTGTTATTAGCCCGTTGTATGGGGCGCGTCCGGCATGCTCTCGCCGAGTTCAAGGAACGGTGCGACCTCCGTCGACCGAAGCCACAAGTCTATTGGGGTCAGGTTTTTAGACAATGGTCGGAACATTCTGAGCTACTTGCTCAATAACCGGCTATCCTTGTTTTCTTTTTAGTGATTTTCATCAATTCTTATTGGTGAAAATTAATTTAAGCTGCGAAAGCACATGAAGACTCGGTTTGTACTAGCGTTTTTTGTAATAACTTGCGTGTGTATGTGAAAATGATTTCGCCGGGCCCAAAACATTGGCTATGTTAAAAGATTCTTGAAGTTTGAAAAGATTTAAGATGTATAAGTTTTTTTGATCTTATGTTGGAAAAGTAATTTAATGAAAACTCGGAAACTGAAAAATTATTTAAAAAAAAAAATCTTTTTCGGCGTACATAAATTCAATAAATATTGTGTGATGGTTGGCAAAATGGGTTTGATAATTATTTCAATACATGAACCTTAAAAACTTTCAGATAATTGAGGTATGTGCAAACCTACTGCCTGCATATTCTGTTTACTACTGACACTAATTTTTGAAAGAAGAGTTGAACTTGTTGAGTTCACGGAATATAGAATCTGATAAACCCACCAATCACTTCTTAATTAATAATCTGTGAAATGAATTTTTCAGTACTCTAATAATCGTGTGATGGCAAATATCGAGTTCCTGGTTATCCTCAATAGCGCTCCCAAACTCTGTTTTGAAAAATAGTATCAAAAATTCTATTTAAATTAACTGACCTTCTTAATGTCAGTCACCTTTTGTTTTAGTTTATTGCGGGTTTGGGGTCTGTCGTGGAGTCTATGATCAGGGCAGCGAGTGAGCAGTTGCAGGAGGAGCAGACGAACCAGTTCTGGCAGGAGGGGGTGCTGAGGAACCTGCCTCTGTTCGGAGGCATCTACTCCTGGATACTACCCGCCGGCACATCTCCAATCAAAGGCAGATCTTTCAACCTGTCGTCTGGTAAATTCCATTTTTCCTATCACTCCCTTCTGTTCTTTCGTAAATAGATCAGTGCTTTTTTAATTGAAAACTTCATGAAATAACAGGAAATTAAAAAGCGTATCTATGAAATGACGAGAGGTCAAGGATTTGGTTTTATACTTTTGGTTGAGAGCATAAATCCGCTTATGACTCAAAATTGTTTCAGGATCTTTGGAGAGTACGGAATTCGTATATGAACACAAATTGCAATACCACGAAGCGCCTAACAGCCAACTGAAAAAAGTGGACGAAGAACTCCCTGCAAAAGGCGGCAATTCGTGAAATGAACAGTGCTGAACTGTGCCTTTAATACTATAACGTGGTGTCTATTAATCACTTTAGACATGATGAAAAGAATAACTCAAGATTGGGTGATTTTTGGGTTCACTTGGTGTCCTGGTTTATTACCCTCAATGAAACGCAATTTTTTTTTGAATAGTGCTGTAAAAAGGAACAGCTATTTCAAGAATGATTAGTAAGATTGTTGGGGTAATTCTTGTGTTCATGTCAAATGTAGTTCTGTTCACGCGTCGTTTACGTGAAGCAAATTATGTTATTTTTGCAGCAAGTACTTCAAGTTACGTCAATTTCGAATATGTGGAAACTTATTTAAGTTGAAGTGCTTTTTCATCTAAAACCTTGATTCCGTGGCTTTTCTGGTGAACTTAGAAATTTTGTTTCAACATATCTTTTACGTAAAATATGTATTGCTGTATATAATAAATTCTTTCTGCGAATTTTATGCAAATATAAATTGAATGTGTACTATTAATTGCATATATGAATCAGGTTTTAATTCACTGGATCTTCAATGAATTGTTTCGCGAGACATGACAGACGGGGGGAGGGGCTCAAAAAAGGACTGTTAAGCATGTGCTTTTTTGCTTTTTCACAATTTCGGTTATGACAAAGCTAAATTATTGTTTTTTTTTGCTTTTTCACAATTTCGGTTATGACAAAGCTAAATTATTGTTTTGCTTCTAAAAAATTATTAGCACTTGGGGTTATATATTAATGCCTTCATCCAAGATTCAGCTGTCTCACAAATAAATCAGTGGCATATGAACCACTAATAATCGGTGATATATTACAATAAGCGGTGGTACGCTCAAGTTAAATAGCTGGATCGCTTTTTTTTATACTTCGAACAGTATTTATAATTATTTCAAAAGCCAAATTTTTTTGCAAAAGAAGATAAAAATTTGAGTTTTTGACTAACAGTTTATCTGGCAGAGTAATGTGTTCACAAAAACTATCTTAGCAGCATGTACAATTGATTGAAAATGAAATGACTATATTATGCATTATAGCTCTCCAATTTAACACATGCACTATACTCAATATTACCACCTATTGATCTTTAGTCGACGATCAGTTATCGACGGTGAAGTGAATGCATGTGACAAACAGTGTATTGTCGATTATTAGTTGAACTTGTTTGCGGCTCAAGGCCGTTGGTAGCGTCTAGAGCTTTCAAAGTAATTAAGAGTAGATGGACATAGTTCAGACTCTTATATCGGTCGCGATGATTTTTTTCAGCAAACATACATTCAGTTTGTACAGGATCAATTTTTTTTGCGGTTTGACTTTTGACTTCTTAACGCTTGCGATTAGCAAGCATTATCAAACCAGAATATAGACTTTTTTGAGTTAAAAACTAGTTTAACAGAATCATTTTACATTTGGATCATATGAAATCAAAAGTCATACGTTATTTCGCCGCATATTGCGTAGAGCTAATGTAGCTGCCTATAGAGACAAAGGTCAATGGTTCGAATCCGGCCTGGAACTGTTTTTTTTTGCAAGCGGAATATTGTCCGCAGCACCAAATCTAGCTAAAATTTGAGCATCTTTTACTCGCAATTTTCCAGCTTATGTCTTTTTTGGGCTACTAATTGAGTTCCAAGAAGTTTTGTCTATTCTTTTCGCTATTTTTTGGTTTTTTATGCTGTTCATTGAGAATTGTCGGAAGTTGATTTGAATATTTTACATTTAAGGCTTTGGTGTCTTTCGGGGTCTCGAAGAAAGGTTCGGTTTCTTTTTAGCGTTTTGAAAGCTCTGATGTCTCAAATGGTCCGGGTAATTTTGTTCCCGGAATTTTTTCTTCCTTTCTGCACCAAAAAAAAACGATTTTTTTTTTCAATTTTTGATTTATCTTTTCATTTGCTGAAATCACAGTTTCGAAAGTGGAATTTAGTTATACTTTTTGATCCAGTTTTTATCAAATAGATTTAATTTTATCAAAAAAGAGCCAATTATAAATTGTTTTAGAAGTTTAAAGAGCTTTAAGGCGTCTTTTTTTTGAGTTTCGCAAAGTGAGATTTTTCCAAAAAAAAACAAGTCAGTATATTATTTTTTTACTTGCGTTCATTGACTCTTTTCCAACAGCCTGTTGGCTATATTTCCAAAGTATTTTTTTGACTTAAAGATTTCATGGAAAAAATTTATATTGATTTTTTTTTTGCTTTACAATTGAATATATTCCTCGCGGTCTCTCTTTTAAGTGTTTTGAACAATGAAAGCGCGAAACAAATTTATTTATCAGTCAAGTAATATTATTCTGATTCGATCAAATAATTTCTTGTACGAGATTGTCTTTGCTCGACTTGGATACTTATATTCGCTATATAGTTGTTCGATCATATATTTTCTTGTTTTGTTCCTTAATTTCTTTTTCAATTGTGTAAATTTGCTGGTTTCTTCATGCGGAATACTTATGTAGCGATTACTGTACGTTAATGCTCGACAATACACTGGCGGCAAAGAAAGTCGATGCTTCAAATTTGGGTCTATGTTCTTCTTTGTTCTAATGTTCTTATGTTCTACTTATGCTCTTCAAAATAATGTCTTCTGTTTAAATCGTGTGAAAGTTTTGTTCTTATTTGTTTTTGTTTTGCTTGTATATACTCATTTTTTGCTCACTTTTTTTAACTGATCTACTTCATAATAATTAATATTGCGTTTAAAAAGCAAATAAACCTATTTAACACTTATTTAGGTTGTTTAGGTTTTCAATTGTCAATGAATGTAGTGAAGAAATTATATAGATCGTGATAAACTTTTTCCGGGAATCTCTAATTTTGTTCACGCTCAAGCTGATTTTTTGCGGGTTAACTTTTCACTTATTGAAGCTCAGTTTTTTTCCTTTGTTCAAAGTAAGGCAAACTCAACTATCGATAAACAGTGTAGCGGTCACAAATAATGTGATCGACTTCTAGTTTTGAAGTGGATTTTTATTTTATGATTTCCCAGCGGGGATTATGCAATTATCTAATTTTCTCGAATTGGTTCAATTTAATCGTAAAAGTGTCAATCATAAATTGTTTAATTCTTTCTCTGTTCAATCAATTAAATTGTGTTAAATAGAGCTACATCCGCGTTTTCTGTTTCACTGTTTTCTCGAACATTAATCACTGAATTTTCGATCAACACTTCTTTATTAAATAATACCGATAAAATCACTTAACTGCGTTTTTATAGCACGAAATTAGTTACTTCAAAGCAAGGCGTAGAAAGTGTAGAGAAACAAAACCGAAAAACTTGTCCATGTTTTGAGAAAATAAAACTGTCATTTTTTAAATACCAGCCTATTTTAGAGCGGAGCTGGAGAACACTCTTTAAATGGCAATTGAATTATGCAAAGAAATTGAATACGTAAATATGACTATTATACGGTATACTATTTTTTATTTGACTAGTTCTCAAAGCTAACTTTTTTGTCAGAACTTAGTGAAGACAATTATCGAAGTCGTTTTTATTTTTTTCAGGAAGCAATCGTACAATTTGTTCACATTTAAAATTCATTTTTCAGTGTGACTTCTGATTTTTTTCATTGGGTAACTCAAATGCATTTGATGCAACTTTAACAAATTATGCTCTAGAATGAGAAAAAACGTGAATGCTTGATAGTTCTCAAAATAATCAGTTTCCATTATCGACTTAATTGCTTTCGTCTCATTTTATGCTAGCTTCAAGTCTTTTTTTGCCTGGTATCACAAGCGTTGCGAAGGTCACCTTCGCCTCTTTGTTCAAGATAAGTGGTTGCAGAAAATTTCATTTTCCCCTAAATATAGGAAATCGTAAATTTGTTTTTGTTTCCTCTTGTTCGGAGTGAACTGTCTGATTTTTTACACGCCAATTTAGAGTGAGAAATGATGTAACCAAAATGACGAGTAAAGATAATAAAATTAGTTTGAAATGTGAAATCAACTGTTTTTTATTCAGATTCGATGAGCGTTGTGAAGACTTTAATAGGTTCTTATGGTTTTTTGTATTGTTTTCAGGAATAGTCTTAAAATATGTTCACGCTTGGATTTGATTTTTTTGCCGTTTGAGTTTTAATTTCGTTAAACCAGTTCAATTCTTTTGTTAAAAGTAAGGCAAACTCCGCTATCGCAAAAGAGTAAAGGTCGCAAAAAATGTGATCAGTTTCTAGCTTTGTGAAGGGATGTAATTTTTGAGGTTTACGACCGGAGCATAAGAAAAGAGCTTTTGATCTAATTTTCTCTCATTGGGTTAGTTTTATCAAACGCAGTGATTTACAAATAAATTTGTGAAATTCAAAGAACTTGAAAGAATTTTGTTTTTCAACTGTCTTTTGGCTGTCTGTTTTGCTGAATTTTGGAAAAAAGTTCTTAGCTACTTACACGGGGCTCTGTCTTTGACGTATTTTCTGAGCATTGAGCGTCAAATTTTTTCTAGCTGTGATTTAGCTAGAAAATTTATTGCTAGTGGAAATTTGTTTAGACAAAATTTTTAGATTTCACATGAGGTTATCGATTACTGAATTCAAAACTTTTCATCTTTGAGCGATGACCGTAGAGAAAACTCTTATATAGGTCGTGATGAATTTTTTCCACAAGTTCAAAATTTGTTCAGGCTCATTCTTGTTGTTTTTTTTCGCGCTTTGACTTTTGATGATTGGAGTTCAGTTTATTTTTTTTAAAAAGGAGTCAATATCCACTCGAGCAACAAAAGTTTGAAAATCACGAAAAACCTGACCGGTTTCTAGGTTGATCCAGTTTTCTCAAATTGGATTGCATTAATTTTATCAAAAAATTGTCTATCATAAAGTGTTCTGGAAATTCAAAGAGCTTCGAAGTCATCTATTTTTTTCCTTGAAAGTCGAAAGCTGAGTTTTTTTTTCAAAAAACAGGTCAGATATTTTTTTCGGCTTACTTCATTCGTTGACTTTTCCAACTGTGTTGGCTGTTTGTGTAAATCTGGGATACTGTTGATTGGACTTTGGGCCTTCGCAATTTTTATCAAATAAATACGGGCTTTGAATTTTATCTTTTAATGCACGCAATTCTCGAGGAGAAGTAATCTAGCTCAATTTGAATGAACGCAAGCAAATCGTCAAAAAAAAGAACCAGTAGACCCGAAAAATAGCTGGTAACAAAGCTATTGACGTTGACGAAGGCAAAGATATTTTGAAGTAAGTTGTTGTCTCATTTAAGTCATGTCATGCAGTTTGCGAAGAATCACAAAGCAAACAAGCCCGGATTTTTCGAATAAATAGCTTCATTTGATCCTTAAACTTGTTGGGCAGTAGCAGCAGTGGATTTAGGGGGAGTCTATTGCTTGACCACGCAAAGGGTCTCTTAAGTGCTACTTTTCAACAACGTTTATTGAGCGACTAAACATAAAATTTTTACTAACTATATTTCGATGCCTCCTTATTTGAAGTGGTATGGGAAAGCGTTATCAAATCGGAAACCAGATTTTTTCGAGTTAACAACTAGTTAACAAAATCAGTTGAATCACTTGCTCAATCAGCTGACATGCTCATTTTATGAAAGTTCAAATTGTGGGTACTAATTCAAAAGTAGTGGGTACTAATTACAACAGGGTAGTTTCAGAGGGATTTGAAACATTTTCGAACTTTTTTACAAAATCAGTTTTTTTTCGGCTCAACTGGTGAGTGCTCAAAGATTGTCGGCGTTGTTTCCGCTTCGTAAGTTTTGTTCTAATCCTAATTTGAAAATAAAATCCCTTGCTTGGCATGTTTCCCTAGAATTGTCTTTTGATAAAGATGGATTTTTTTGAGAATGTATGGGATTCGGTTTTTTTTTGCTTTTTTGAGACGCTGAAAGTTTAGGAAGTTTTTTGAAAGCTCAGTGCTTTTTTTTCTCAAAATGCTACCGATTTTCAGAAAAATAGTAATTATAGAAAGGCTCTCTACACCCTTGTCTGCCTGAGCGTTTTCCTAGTCTCTTTCTGCTTTACAACTTTGTCTACAGCCTTCGAAAAAGTCTGTGGTGGAATATTTGACCGATATTTTAAATTTTATTTCACTTTCTGAAAAACTAATTTAACATATCTGAGATAATTGCTTGAATGAATAGCGATAGTTTGAAAAGCTCCCCCGCATAAGCGGCTACGCCCAAATTTTTTTACGCATTAAATTATGGCCCTCAGTATAGTGAAATTTTTCGATTTTCCTGACCGTTTTTTTTTATTTTTTTTGTTTTCCTCGAAAACTATCCTCCCAAACCTGAGGTTGTGGGCCAATTGAGAAAACGGGTAGTGAGAAGCTCCGCTTCCTTAGCGGTCACTCACAATTTTCTGTACACAAAAAGATAGCTCCCTCTAAAAAGTCCATTTTTAAACTTTTTTCAACGTTTTTTCTAATTTTTCAGAATTTTACCAAAAATTACTCTCTCATACCTTAGATTTTGGGTTCAATCCAAAAAACAGGTTGTGAGGAAGCTCCTTTGCATGTGCGACTACGTCCAAATTTTTTGACACAAAATTAGGCCCTCGGAATGGAAATCTTTTGATCGTTTTTTGAAACTTTTTGACTTTTCTCGAGAACTACTCTGGGTATTTGTTTTAATCGGGTTTTTCGATTCAATCGGGTAAATCTTTTCTGCATGAGTGGTTAAGCTAAAACTTTTTCTAAACAAAAATTATGATTCTCGACTATCTGATTTATTGACCGTTTTTTGGAATTTCCTCTAACTATCCTTCCAAATCTGATATCATAAGTTTAATCGACACAACAGCTTGTTGAAAGCCAAACTTTATAATTTGCTGCGCCAGGTTTGTTTTAAAAAAGTTGTGGCTTTCAAACAAGTGAAATTTTAATCGAGAAACTCGATTTAGAGAATCTTCTCTAATTTAGCGGCCTTTACCTGATTTTAGCAGAATAAAGTTACGAATTTTGGAAGGTCGAGTTTTTGAACTTCGAACGTTTTTTAGAAACATTTTGGCGTTTCTTAAAAACTACCTTATCAGATCTTAGATGAAAAGTTTAATCGAAAGAATCGGTGGCGCGAATGTTTCCGCGAAGTTTTTTAATAAGTGCGGCTACTCCTTGTCTTTTTTAATAAGAGAAAAGTTTTCGTATTTACCGATGAAGGACACTTAGAGCTCTGCTTAAGTTGGAGGTACTTGCTTAACATTTTTTGAAACATTTATACTGATGCAGGACGAAATGCGAGATTTCAAAAATTGGACTTTGACCAAAACCTTAGTAGTTTGTCTGCTAAAAGAATTAAGAGTGAAATTTTTTTAGTAGACAAACTACTAAGCTTTTGGACAAAGTTCAATTTTTGAAATCTCGCATTTTTGAGTGACTGTTCGCGAGAAAGCGCCTTGTAATCGAAAGTAAGAGTTTTCCAGTAAATAAATAAAACACATTAAAAGGTCAAAGGTCATATAACAGCATTGATATGGCAAATTTGTTCATATATTTACGAAATTGAACGTGCTTTGTTATTGAAATTTCGCAAATGCAGGGATTCTTCTCACTTGGTCTAGAAGTCACACGGTTGCCTTTGCATCCCAAGGTCTGGGTTTCGAGTGCCTTTTGTACCTTTTTTTTATGCATGTATGAAATTGATTTTTTCCGAGAAAAATCGAATTTGGACTTCCGTTCGACTGCTTTTGTTTGTGGGCTTAAATCTTCAAAACAAAAAAGTCTTTTTTGAATATAACAATTCTTACTATTATTGACAGTTGTCTTGTTATTTTGTCAATTTACCAACTCGGATTCTGATTAATTTTTAAAGTTTTTTAATGATGTTTTGGCCTATGTTTTATCGGCTTGGTCACCTTGTGGGCTGTTTGTAAAACAAAATTAATTGTTATTTGAAAAGTAATTCAGGTCAGTGAAGTTTAAAAACTTAATTGCTCAAACGGTTTTTTTGACAACAATTTCTTATGGATTTATTTGTTTTAGGCTCTTTGTCTTCTTAAGTTTTGTCGGCTAAGCTGCTGCTCGATAAATGGCTTCGAAAGCTTATTTGTGTCTCTCGACTATTTTTCTAGAATTGATTTTGTCAGACTTGAACTTTTTTTGAGTCTTTCTATTCCTTAGTTTTCAATGCTACGCTTGCGTTGTATAGCAAGTGGTGCGAAGCTCAGCATGCCTCAGTGTATACTGTTACGAAACTAATTGTCGTCTGTTACGCCTTGTCTCCTCATCGACCTAAACACTTTGTTGACCTTCTCTGTTGACCTCACTTGAGAAAAACGTAAAGCCACCTCCCCTGGAAAATAAGGTTGTTGACTGTCTACGCATTACTCAACACAACGTCTTTTATTGGTGAACGTTTTTCGAAAAAAAAATCGAAGTATTCCCTTTGCATCCAAGTTGCAAAAAAAACTTGAAAGAAATCATAGTGTTTTCGGAACTTTCAGGGTTTCGCCCTGATGCCTTAATCTGTTCGTCATCTAAATAAATGAAACCCAAGTAAATGAGATTTCAAGTCGTAGCAATACGATAATTTGAGTTTTTTGTTTTAAACAAATGGGCTTCAGGTTTGATGAATTTTAAATTTTACAAATGTCTTTTAACCCTCACATGCAAACCAAGAAATCCACTACAGATCCTGAAGTAGAAACGCGTGATAAAGAGCAAATTACACTACACGGTGAAATCTATTCCAAACTAATTGATATTATGGAGCTCGATGATGTTGAGGGCCTCCAGAAGCTGTGGAACGACCCCGAAAATCAAATCAAACTCAACAAGGCGAAATTTGAGGAGGACCAGAAGTCATTACTCCATCTTGCAGTTGAATATCAATCGATGGAGTGCTGCGAGTTAATTTTGCAGCAAGATCAATTCGCCGTAAATGCGTGAGTAGTTCTGTGTTTTAAAGTTCTATTATTGCAATCTCAAGAGATCATGGGCAATTATGCCAAAGAGAGTGAAAAAAAAGTTGTAGTCTAGTGCTTAGTGAAGAGATTACTAGCAGATGAAGAATTTAAAAGCTGATTTTTCTACAAAACCTGTCCGCGAACATGTTTGAACTTTTTTTGCCATTTTTTTTTCAATCTAGCTTCTTCGGATATTGATTTTGAGAATATTTCAAACTATTCTGATACTTGAAGTTTTGAAGTTAAGAGGAAGAATAGTTTTTCTGTCGGTTTTTCTGACCTTTTCGGTATTGGTCGAGATTTTTTATACTTGATTTTTATTTTGATTTAGAAAAAGTGCACAATCAGAAATTAGACTAAAAAGGAATTGTATCCAACTTTGTTCGTATATGGAAGTTTTTTGTCATTCAAGTTGTTAATAATCATAACTTGTTAGACGATGATAAATTTCAATGAAACGGTTTTCCATGTTAACGGTTGTTACTGAAATTATCATATCAAATAGCAAAGATTTTCTTTTCGCTGTAGTTTTTTCTTGTAGTGACCGTTTTTTCGAGTTATACACCGCCGGTTTTTTCAATTTATTGAGGATCGTGAAAAATTTGAGCTAAAACTATCTCAAAAACTATGCGAATATTTTAGTTGACGAATTCCTTAGAAATTTGATCAAAATTTCTCTCGAAAAATATATCCTCAAGACCTTTTTTAGCATGACTAACTTGGCCTTATACTCTTCGCGTCACAGCAGTGAGTATCGGGACCGTAGGTTATGATAATACCAACCAGAGTTGCTTTTTTTTGACCAAAATCACAATTATTTGTGAATGCTCCTATATAGGTCTTGGTGATTTTTTTCAGGAAAAAGTTTTAAATTTTTATTTTTCGCGGTTTGACTTATTATTTCGTTTTATGTTCACTCCATTTCCTTTGTTGCAAGGAAGGCAAACTCCACTATCGAACACCGAAAGTGTAAAAGCCAATTTTCAGATTTCTCAGCGGAATAAAAAATGTACTCGTTGATCCAGTTTTCTCAGTTTGGGTTAATTTTATCAAAAAAGTGCCAATTAAAAAATTAGCTTGAATATCAAAGAGTATAAAGGCCATAGTTTGTCTTTCATATTCCAAAGTTGAAATTTTCAAAAAAATAAGTAGTTTTTTTTCTATTCTTTTTACATTCATATCTCTTTTTCGACTGTCTGTTGCCTATGTTTTTACCCTTGCGATAAGTAATGGTATTGTAATGGGGTACTAGACTTTTCTTCCCGTAAAAAACTTTGTTCTCAGAAGGTCAATTTTTATAGAAATGGTAAGTTTTACGTTGCTGACACGCAGACTGCTGACATGCTCAATTTCTTGAAAGCTTAAATAAAACGACCATCATTTAAGTAGTAATTAGGGGAAGTTCGTGCCAGGTAATAGCTTTTTTTAAAATTAAATTCTTGAAAAAAAAAGATTTTTTTTTTGTATTCTTGGCTTTCTTCCTAGTTTCTGTCGGCTCATTTTCACTTTCTTAAAATGCAGTTTGTTTTATTTGGTACGTTTTTTTGGCCTGGCTTTCCAAAGCATATGTTTTTTTAATGATTTAATCAGTTGTTACTATGATTGAAAGTTTTGTAATTTGTGATTTTTTTTTTCGTTTTTTTTTTACTATTCAAAGGTTTCGGCTTAAGTTATTTCAGCGTAGTCAATTTATGTTGCGTATTTTCGAGGGTAAAATATATTTTTATGCTTTTCGAGGGTGAATCATATTTTTATGCTTTCTTAAGTTTCGTAAAAAAAACTTTTAATATTTTATAGCTCAAAATTTTTTGACAATATTTTTTTCCGGCCCAAATTCTTTCTGTTTACTCTGTTTTTTTTTCAAATCTTTTGTTTAATGTTGAACCACAACATCCGTCAGATTCCTTCCCAATTAGTTTATGAGTAACTTCGTTGCCTTCACATCCTAAGGTCTGGGATTCACGTCTCGGACAGACCTTACTTTTTTCAGTTTGTATGCAATTGAAAAAAAAAATCGGATAAAATTGAATTATCGGGTTTTCGTTTGCTTGCTCAAGTTTTGCCGGCCAAGTTGCCACATTAACCGTTTTGTTTATGCTGTAACCAACTTTTATTGCACGTGCAAGTGTTGTTCATTCTAGTATCAGAGGGAACTTGGAAGATTGTAGGCTTAGTTGCTACATTGCAGATTTTTCTTGTGCTGTTAGCAACTTTCATTGTAGTTGCAACTGCAAGTGTTTTTCATTGTAGTTTCAGGTGGGACTTAAAATTTTAAGGTTTTCTTATAAAATAATATTTTTTTTGTATCAATTTGTTTCTGCGCAAAGATTGTCGACTTTGTAAGTTTCGTTCCGTTCCTAATTTTATTGGAATGAATTTCTATCGAGAAATATCGAGACATTAAAAATTTTGGTAGACCTTTTTTTTTCATTTTTTTTCGACTCCTCATAATTTTACGAACCTTCGTGTGTTATTGTGAACTTTCTTTTTTTCTAACTTAACTCGCAAATAAAAGTTTTTTTCATTAAAAGTGTTCTTTCATTTGGAAATTTCACTGTAGCATTGGAAGTTGCTTAGCATCTGTTCTCTGCTTTATTTGTGACGGCCAGTGTTTGGGGCCAATTTAGCTTCCGTGGCTGAGTGGTTAGTGTGTTAGACCCTTAATCACTTGGTCGTAGGTTGGAATCTCAGTGGTAGCCGAATTTTTGCTTCGCCTCTGTGTTTATGTTATTCTCGCATCGCAAATAGTGCAAAGCTCCGCTTCTCTTTTGTTTAATAGCTTGTGTTTCACGTATTTAAGAGCAGTGCATTCATTGCTGCCTGATAATTACTGCTCAACAATTTGTTCACAAGGTCTTACTGGCCGAGTGATCTAACGGATTGTTAGTTAAGTTGTCTATGGTGCAAAAGATATGGGTTCAACCCTCAGCTTTTACAAAGTCATTTGCAGACCTATTTTTTGCCTTATTTCTGTATTTTCTTGATTTTTAGAGATCCTTTTTTGGTTTAGTTGCTTGCGTTTGAGATCTTCAGCTTTGCCTGTCTTGGACTGTTTTAGAAAACCACTTTTTCACATGGTGCGTGACATCAGTAAGTTATTTTTCAAATTTTTTCTTTTGCTGAATTGAAGCTCAATATCCAAATTAATTTCAAGATACTTGAAACCATTTGCATGCTGTAATATTTCGCCATCCAACTTAATTTTATTTGAAAATTCATATTTTTAATTTAATTGTTGAAGCCTACATTTGGAGTGATGTATCGTTATTTTGTTATTGACACACCAATCCTCGGCATATTTTTCATGGTCATAGAATTTTCATTCTAAAAACCTCCCTCGTTTGCAGAAATTTGCGCGACATTTCATCATTTAACTAATAAATTTATTCTTGGAAAAAGCAACTTACTAGTTGAAAAAGTAGATGGATTTATTTTTGACTGTTTTTGATTAGGTGCTCTTCGAATGGAACGACTGCCTTTGAGCTTGCAGTCGCCAGAGCTGAGCCGGATCTCGAACTAATTCAACTAATGTTAGATCGTGGATGTGACCCCACTGCTATCTTTCAATTGGCCATGCACGATCTACATGTCTACCAATTAATACATTGCCATCTTTTAAACAAGGCTAGCATCAAGGCAATTGTAGGCTTCGAATATAAATTCAAGTATAAAAATTAAACTCAAATGGCTGCTGCAATGTTTTGCATCCAGTTTGAAATATCTTGTTTGACCACTGTTGTTATAACCCGGATATAGTTTTTTTATAGAATATTTTTCGATGGGCCTTATTGATTTTGCTAGCTCTCCAGAAGCACAGAAAATAAATGGTTTTCACAAAGAAATGATTCCGGGGTGATTAAGAGCGATAATATTCCCTAAAAAAAACAATTCTTCAGTGTTTTGACCAATATGTTCTCCCGCAGAGTCGGATATATTTGTATCAAATGCGATTTGTAGTAATATAAGATTCTTAGCTAGAAATGGATATTTTGACCTTGCGATAAGCAAGGATGTTGCAAGCGGGTACTAGACTTTTTCACGTAAACAACTTCATTCATAGAATAGACTAAATGGTATTTCTAATATAAACAAATTCGTCGTTTTAAAGCAAATTAATGACTGGTATTGCGTGCATATGTGACTTGGCTGCTCGCTAAGAGCTGCAAAGTAATTTTTTTTCATTTCGAAAATTATCGGCACTGAAGTCTATTTTCGTTGGTATTATGTGTGGAAGATTGAGCTCTAACGAGAAATTTTTGAAAAATCTAAATCACCATCTTAAGCCTCCATATTAAAAATAGAAAAATTAAACGTAAAAAATTGTCTTTTGTTATTTCTGACTTTTTAGCTTGCTATTATCTTTCTTCGAAACTTTTTATGGTTATGCGACTGGCTGATTTATTACGCTTGCAATACGGAAGCATGAAGTTAACGTTAGCTTGATACACGACTATGGTTATGGGTTCGATACTGGCCAGGAGCAGATTTTATTTAAAAAATTCTGGGAGAAATTTAATTAACTGACTTTCAACTATCTGCTTATTTGTTGTCAACTTCCTTCCAAATCGTGCTACTTTTTTATTGGATCAAGTTTTGAGGGAATTGAAATACCTACTGATTTTTTCAAGTAATTTTGAATTCGCGAACTGTGGCTTCAATGGTATCGACAAAGGTTATATCGGGCTATTCGCCTGATATTGGGTCCTTTTAAGGACAAAAACAGCTTTTTGGGTGTTGTGTGTTTCAGGTGGTTCGTGAATCTTGGAGTTGCAAAACGTAATAGCTCGAAATGTTTTATTACACGTGCGATAAGCAAGGGTATCGGGTATTAGTCTTTTTTACCGTAAACAACTTTGAACACAGGATCTTCACTTCTAAAGAATCTTCACTTCTAGAGTATCTTCACTTCTAGAGGAACTTTCATCTGACATGCTCAATTTCTTGAAGAATCAAATAAAAGTATTATGACTTAGCTAGTAATAAGTTCAAGCCCGTTTCAGGTTGTTATTATCTTTTCAAAAAAGTCTAATTTTTTTCGGGTTCCTGGTTTTCGTCCTAGTTTCTGTCGGTTCAATTTCCATTTTTAAACGCCATTTTTTATGTGGTATGATTTTTGTTGCCTTTTTTAAAACATGTGTTTTGTTCCAATGTAAAATACTTTTACTAAAACTGAAACTTTTCAATTTGTAAATTTACCATGTCTGATTTTGAGTTGGTTTTTTCAACTTTTGTCAAGTTATTTTTTCAAATAATTTTTTCGAAAATAATTTTTCAGAATTTTTTTTCATTCACTGTTTTGTAGCGCAATGTGTTATTTTTTTTCATCGCAAAAGTTGCGAGACACTGCTTCGCCTGTGTGTGTTATATTTGTTTTCGACTCAATGATCGATCGTCTGCCCAAATTGTGTCGGCCATCCTGGCGCTCCATAATTTTTTCTGAATAGTGAATAAACCCTGCCGATTATATTTGTCGGAAGACAAAAGTATTGAATTTTTTTTAGATATGGTTTTTTATTATAGATTTTTTCCGACATACTGGCCTCCGCCTCATTTTCTAATTTTGACTTGCATCGCAAGTAGTGTGAAGCTCTGATTCGCCTTTGTGTAAAATGATGCCCTTAACGAGTACCGAAATTCCGAAGAGGGAGGTATCAAAGCCCCTCGACAGCCCTTTACTACACTAACGTGTTAAATGAAACTGGTTAATCTTGGATTCTAGATAGAATGCTTCACTCACATATAAAATAAACCTAATAATCCGTAGAAACTTAATTTGAAGCCTAAAATTGAATTGATATGCAGGCTAAAAGCAAGCGTTACGACCGGTTTACTCTGATAGACGATATTGCACTTGGACTTGAGAAGTTCAAAGTGCCGATGAAGAATTACACCTCCACCACTGGTATATGGTCCAAGTTTTCACCTTTTATTTACATCAACAGAACAATGGCTGGAGCTGAAGTTTCAGACACGTTAGTGTGTTTTTTGATTTCGTAGCAAAAAAAATCATTTTAGTCTTGTAGACTTGTTAAAACTTTTGAGTCGTTTAATTTAGTCTACAAATTTTATTTTTTGACTAAAAATATAAAACTAGTCTCAAAATTTATAATTAGACTGATATATCATAAACCCAACTCAACCATTTGTTTGTGTTAGTCTCATCCAGCAGTTTCATAGTTTGGTAATTTAGTTGATGAAATGGCTGGAATGGTTAAGATGTTAAGGGTACAGATGAATGACAGTCCTCGCGAACCCTGTGAATGTTCAGATGGCTGCGGCAACGATTGTTCTTGTGTTAGGAGAGGAAACATAACGTGAGTAATGTATACCAAGTGTTGTATATATACCATCATGTATCACGATAAAATTAGCTTTGGGCTATGATAAAGCATCGCAAGTGTTTTTCAAGTGAAGTTGTGAGTTATCATTGCTTTTCAAAGCCATATCATTGAAGTATCTTTTCTGGTATTCGGCTTGTTTTGTTCCAATTTTTTCTCATCCCAAGTAGTTTCTTATTGAAACTTAGACAAGTTGTTTGATCAGTGTTGGCTTTTGATTTCCTGCTGTCATACATATTTAGGTACTCAACTCCGGGTTTGATCCACGTGCCTCCGTCTGATCTGGAATTTCCAGTTCTGTTCCAATGCAGCTCAGAGTGTAGGTGCACTAACTGTGGCAATCAGTGGGCTAGTTCAGGGTCAGAGTACCCGGTGGGTGTGTACTTTGTCTCTGAGTCGATGGGTTTCGATTTGAGGAGTATGTGCACGATTCCAGAGGGCGCATTTGTGGGCGTGTACGCCGGTCGAGTGCAAGATGTTAAAACCACGTGCGAGGTATATTTCGGATGTATCCAAAGTATCTTGTTTACTTTTGAGAATCATATTTCTATTGTATTTATTACCCTTGCAATAATAAATTTTCTTGCGATTCAAACTTGAGCTTCATGAAAAGTTCAAAAATTAGCTATATACACTTACGACAGTTGGTATTTGAAGTTTGTCTTATAATTTAACAGGTGCTTTCAGAGAATTTTCAAGTTATAATGTCGGAAGTTGTTGTTTGTGTAGGACTCTGATGACGATTACATTTTTGAGATTCCCTGCTCAGTGGACGAGAAACACCAGCTATTTATAAACTCAAAGCAATTTGGAAACTACACTCGCTTCATAAACCACTCGTGCAATCCTAACCTAGAAGTCATCGAAATTAAACAGGTATGACCTTCAAGATTTTTTAAGAGTCTTCATATTTTAATCGGAGAGTAAGTCAGTTAATTAAAGAGTTTGAAGTGCGACTCTTGTTTATGCAGACCCAATTTCAATTTGCATTTTCTTGATCAATTTGGGCTCTGTAAGCTGAGTGGTTAACATTTGTTGACACGCCCGGGAGTTTAGCGATTAGCATGTGTGCCTATTAGCATGCGATAATTGTTTTTAATTGGGTGTGCATTTAGATGAAAAACAAACAAGCCTAAACTTTCAAATAGTTTTCGAAAACCGCTTAATTTATTAAGGAAATAAAATTTTCGCCTGAGTAAAAATTAGGCAAATTGCGCGCTGATAAAAATAGCCAATTTCAGTAAACAAATTTCGAAAAAGCGAGTCTTCAAGCTTAATGCTTTTACATGGGCTCACGGGCATGCTAATCGACACATATGCTAATAGGCGGGTCCCCGACACGCTTATTAGCTAAATTTGACAAAAATGCATCGCGTCTAAATATTGTCGGCTTAGTTGCTGCTCGGTCATGGTTTCGGGAATCACCAGCGGTTTTGGAGGGGTGTGTTTGGATGGCATACGCCCCCTTTTCAGGCATTCGACCCCCCTGCCGACCCAAAGAGTCCCCCCTTTGTACTGCCTTGAGATCTCCATTTTTGGCTGACTGACCCTAAAATCTTTCTAAATACGCCTTCGGCGCCAATATATACTAATTTTGAGGGGGAAGCGCGTGCCGAAAAAACACGATTTTTTGGTCAAAATTTTCCATGAAGTGTCTAAAACTCCTTTTTGTTGTGTTTTCTTTGGAAAAAATTCGGAAAACTAAGGTGTTTATAGTGATTTGTGAGAAAATCAAATTGGTCGACCTAAAAAAAGTCGATTAAGTTTCGAACATTTTTTGAAACTCCGCCTCCCCCCTCGAGAAAGTCTTAGATCCGCCCCTGTTCAGAATGCTTATTAACGCTGTTAATTGTATTTTAATATGTTTCTCTCAAATTAAACATCATTTGAGACAAACGTTTGAAATTTGTGAGATGTAATTTTTTCGCGATTTCTTACTGCTTGATGATTTTCTGTCCGCTGTCTTTCAATCCATTTTTTGTCTTGTATCGCAAGTGCTGCGAAGCTCGGCTTTGTCGCTGTGGAAAAAAACGGTGGTTTTCGTGATAGTTTTTTTTGTAATATATTTAACGCTAATTTCAAATGTCAATGAGCGAAACGAACCAACTTGTAGCTCGTGTTGATTTTTTGTTTGCTTTTTTTCCCGTGAAATGGTCTGAAAAGCTGTTCATGTTTAAATGTTTTTTTTGCGATTTTATGATTTATTTAAAGTTCAATTAAATTCGTGGACCAAGTTAACATCCTCCCCTAAACACGTTTAGGGGGGGGGAGGATGTTAACTTGGTTCTAAGTTGGGAATTTTCAGCCAATCAGAATCGAGCATTTTACATGCAGCGCTTAGCAAATTTAATTTAATTTGAGCGCTGGGGTGGAGGATCTTAACTTGGTCTATTAGGGGGGGAGGAGGGAGGAGGATGTTAACTTGATCCAAATTCGTTTGCTAAATGGATTGACCACCACGCCCTCAAATAACTAGGGCGCAAGTGGCTCGAAAAAAAACGTGAATGGCTTGAATTCCAAAAGTGGTTTTTAAATTTTTGAATTACCAGCGGAAGACAAAAAAATATTACTTTGATCTGGTTTTGCAAATTGCTTTTGATTTTATCTTTAAAATTTCTGAATGGATTTCTTCTATAGATTTTGAAGTTCAGACAAAGTTTGGAAAAATAATCGTTTTATATTAGGCGTTTTTGAGTGGGCCATTAATGCTTCCGTGGCTACGTTTGATTCATTTTGAATGAGTTAACAAATGTCGTCAAATATATTCAACACGAAAATTGCTTTAATAGGAGAATTATGTGAACTTCTCCAACCTCGGAATCTTCGCGAGGACCGAGATCCAAGAGGGACGACAACTGGCACTCGACTACGGAGACGAGTTCTGGAAAAACAAGAAGAAAAGCTTAAACTGCAGGTGCAAATTTGAGAACTGCAAATACGCTAATAATATGCAGACTGCTGAATAAATTATACAATCCATGATTCTTTTTACTTAAAACGGGATGAGTGATACCAATATTTATTTTGATTGGTGTCAAACTTAGCAAGAAAATGTGAGCCAAGTTTTTCCAAAATAGGTTGAGTTCGACTCAAATAATCGAAAAAGGAAGGTTGATAGCAGGCTAATTTGAAAAAAAAACGGAAGTCTTCATCGCTCTGCTTGCAAGTCTGCATTAAATGTCCTGTCCTTTTACCACAAAATTGAGCATTGTTATATTTTATGGGAAAAATAGTAATACACTTATGGAAATCTTCAAAAATGTAAATCTATTTAAAAAAATCTTTTTTGGAGTAGTTTTTTTCGTGGGAGAATAATATTTGATGTATTAAAAAACGCTGTCTTTAAGCCTTAGTTTCTTTCTTTCAAATACTATACGGAATACTTGAATTCAAAAACCAATACCTCTGGATACCAGAAAACTTTGATATTGTAAAATAATTGATTCAGTCATTTCGATTACAACGGTTTCAGTATAAATTATGGTTGGACATCTCTTCATAGCTAAGTATGCGTTTGAACACCTAACTCAGTATTTTCTATGCCATTTCAGTAGTGAAGACCCAAATATCCTCCAAAATTGATATTAAGACGAAATGAGTTAGAAAAGAGAGCCTCCACCAAGTAAGCACGACAAATCATTGGTGACATGATCATACCATTAGGTAATTTATTTATTTCATCGATCCAAATCGAACATAGTTTCTAATTTCAATTTTTATGTGTGGATTGAAATATAATTAAGTGTTAATTATCGCTTTTTGTCAAAAGCCTGCACTATCGTCTCAGTGAAATCTGAAGGATCGCTTCTAATGTTTTCAAACGCGAATCAAATAGAAAAAACAACGCTACGCAGGTTGAATGAAAATTTCAAATTTTCTGCAGATTTTCCATTTCATGCAATTGTTAAGGTAACACTCACGCTAACTTGCAGTTTTGAGGGTGCACTCCTGCGACACGTACATGATTTTTCTATTAGATTTGAAAGATGTCTGTATTTTTTAGTGCACAGTTTAAAATAACATCAATAGAATAGCCCAGATACTTGAGCGCCCTTGCGTGAGATTTATCAAACAGTTTACAAAGAGTTCCAGGCATACTTGGATGAGTCAGTATATTGTTTGATTTTCAAATGATACGTTCATTAAATTAGTATCTGATAGAAATTGTTAACAGTTTCCTATTAAGTAGCAAAATATCGTTTTACATCAGTTGAATTCATAAATCTGATTTTTTAAAAAGAAAGCAAGACTGATAGCAAACTCCTTTATTTCTGCCTTGTTCCGGTTCTGAAGTAGATCGGTTTCTGAATGACAGCATTTCAATTCATACGTAAATTAACCGTAATTATCGAAAATGACAAGTCAACAAAGAATATTGAGCTGCTATAAACTTCAGTATATAAAAGCAGAACTCAATGTCATAAAACACTCAAAAGTGTTAAAAAATCACTTTCAAAAGAGCGCCTGAAAATCTTGTGAGCTTCGTTTCGATCTTTTAGATTTTTTCATTCACTGTTCGTCGTTCACCAGAAAATTCATTTGTTACTACCTTGGTTTTTCCTGCTTTGAATTCTAGCGACAACATCCTCGGCCCCCAACAGAGCGAGAAGAGGTGAGAGCTCCACGGTCAGCCGAGTCAGCTCTCATATCCAGGAACTGCTCCTATCCGGGTCGGCGGACCATATTTCTGCCTCGTTCCTGTTATGAGGTAGATCGGTTTCGTGTAGCTGGCTGATTGAAGACATTTCATTTCAAATAAAAATTAACCGCAATTATCGGAAATTACAAGTCAACAAAGAATAGCAAACTGCCATAAACTTCAGTATTTGAAAGCAGAATTCAATGTCATAAAATGCGCAAAAAAGAAACCATTAATAAATCAATTTTAAAAGAGCGCCTGAAAATCTTTTGAGCGTTGTTTCGATCTTATAGTTTTTTTGATTTTATCATACACTGTTCTTCGGTCACCAGAAAATTCATTAGTTACGACCTTGGTTTTTCTCGCTATGAAGTCTAGCGAAAACGTCCTTGATCTATTTTAATACTTTTGTATGAGGTTGCTTTACAAGCAGCTCAAAAATTCTAACCACATTAATTACTTAATAACTACATAACAACAAAAACTGTCATTTTTCTTTAATTTGCCGTTTTGTGTGCGTAATGTGACGAAAGACGGAGAGAGAGAGAGAGAGAGGAGAGATTGAGAGTGAGAGTGAGAGTAGAGTGAGAGTGAGAGTGAGAGTGAGAGTGAGAGTGAGAGTGAGAGTGAGAGTGAGAGTGAGAGTGAGAGTGAGAGTGAGAGTGAGAGTGAGAGTGAGAGTGAGAGTGAGAGTGAGAGTGAGAGTGGGAGTGAGAGTGAGAGTGAGAGTGAGAGTGAGAGTGAGAGTGAGAGTGAGAGTGAGAGTGAGAGTGAGAGTGAGAGTGAGAGTGAGAGTGAGAGTGAGAGTGAGAGTGAGAGTGAGAGTGAGAGTGAGAGTGAGAGTGAGAGTGAGAGTGAGAGTGAGAGTGAGAGTGAGAGTGAGAGTGAGAGTGAGAGTGAGAGTGAGAGTGAGAGTGAGAGTGAGAGTGAGAGTGAGAGTGAGAGTGAGAGTGAGAGTGAGAGTGAGAGTGAGAGTGAGAGTGAGAGTGAGAGTGAGAGTGAGAGTGAGAGTGAGAGTGAGAGTGAGAGTGAGAGTGAGAGTGAGAGTGAGAGTGAGAGTGAGAGTGAGAGTGAGAGTGAGAGTGAGAGTGAGAGTGAGAGTGAGAGTGAGAGTGAGAGTGAGAGTGAGAGTGAGAGTGAGAGTGAGAGTGAGAGTGAGAGTGAGAGTGAGAGTGAGAGTGAGAGTGAGAGTGAGAGTGAGAGTGAGAGTGAGAGTGAGAGTGAGAGTGAGAGTGAGAGTGAGAGTGAGAGTGAGAGTGAGAGTGAGAGTGAGAGTGAGAGTGAGAGTGAGAGTGAGAGTGAGAGTGAGAGTGAGAGTGAGAGTGAGAGTGAGAGTGAGAGTGAGAGTGAGAGTGAGAGTGAGAGTGAGAGTGAGAGTGAGAGTGAGAGTGAGAGTGAGAGTGAGAGTGAGAGTGAGAGTGAGAGTGAGAGTGAGAGTGAGAGTGAGAGTGAGAGTGAGAGTGAGAGTGAGAGTGAGAGTGAGAGTGAGAGTGAGAGTGAGAGTGAGAGTGAGAGTGAGAGTGAGAGTGAGAGTGAGAGTGAGAGTGAGAGTGAGAGTGAGAGTGAGAGTGAGAGTGAGAGTGAGAGTGAGAGTGAGAGTGAGAGTGAGAGTGAGAGTGAGAGTGAGAGTGAGAGTGAGAGTGAGAGTGAGAGTGAGAGTGAGAGTGAGAGTGAGAGTGAGAGTGAGAGTGAGAGTGAGAGTGAGAGTGAGAGTGAGAGAGAGAGAGAGAGAGAGAGAGAGAGAGTGAGAGAGAGAGAGTAATAGACGAAAGCTTAAAACTTGTGTAAATCAGACATAAAATATACTTGAGTTGCCTTCAAAAAAATCCAAACCAAAACATTGGCTTGGGATAATAAGTTTAAATTTTTTTTAAAAAAAAAATCAAACTAAACGAAGACAAAATCCTCCCCACTTCAGTCGTCGGGGCAAAAGCTCAAAACATCAGTAAATCAGACATACTATATACTAGTTGCCTTATAAAAGTTGCCTATACTAGTTGCCTATAAACTAGTATATCCAAACAAAACAATTTTGGCATGGAATAGTAAGTAAAACACTTTAAAAAGACTAAAACTCAACCGAAGACAAAGAAGTTCCTCCCCAACTTCACTGGTCGGAATTAAACTAGTAATTGGAAAACTTTTACAAGTTTATAGTTGCAGGAACCGCTGCATTTCATTAAATTTTGCTGTTTAAAAGTATTTGCTTCAGTTTCATCGGTTTTATCTGCTTCCGTTTTTAATTGCTGATCTGATTTTTGTTCCGACCATTGAAAATAGGGAGGAATTTTGTATTCAAGCGTGTTTAGTTTTTTGTATTTTTCAGGCAAAATCAGCTACCTCGAATAATCACCGAAAGGGTCGATTGATCTAAAGAAAGGTTTCTAGCTGCAAATTGAACAGCTTAAAAAATTTTCCACAACGTGTTTGCACCGTCAAGACATCAACTATCCTGCTATATGAACTTCACTGGCTTCCAGTTTGTCAGCGTTTCAGTTTCATGAAACAAATGTTTAATGATAAACTGGCCACATTTTTGATGGAATTGCGACTAATATACGGCAACGATTTGCAAATAACTGAAGGAATGATGGTATACGTATATCTATGGAACGTTCAAAATATGGAAAGAGATGTTTCACAATCGCGTGACCAAAAATATGGAACAGTTTAACCCGGAAGCTTAAATTAGAATTGGACCAATTGACATTTAGGAAACACTGAAGTTTCACTTGTTTCGACACTATTTCCATTGAGAACAGAACACCTTTGAAAGAAGAAAAGGTACTAAAAGAAATCCATGAATGAATGAATTGGCTTGAACTCGAGCTAAGAGGTTTCCGGTGGCAGTAAATACATTTGTCATAGAAGATATAAACTAAAGGTTATATCTGTCTAGTAATATATCAAAGCTTAGGTTTTCCAACGTTAAGCTTAGGTTTCTCAATCATAGAACCACCTGAATCGCAACAAATGAATGAAAGCTCAAAAAATATTTTCAACTTTGGCTCCTGTTGTTTCGAAATGTTGATATTGCTTTGCATGCGAATTTGCATGCGAATTTGTTAACCTAAGTCCTTGGTTTTTATTCGTTTCTAGCATTATTTGAGCTTAAAAAATATGGGTTAGCATACTTGAATTTTAATTGCTTATTGATAATCAATTCAATCACTACCTCACTTATTCGAATAGTATACGTATTCTAATGAAAATTAAGTAACCAGTTATAAATTTCACCTAAATTCCCCACAATGTTACGTTTCAAGCATTTTTTTAACACCGTACAATATTACTCAACAAAATAATTGCCTAATTTTTCTATAATTTGTGCAT